TTGTGCTAATAATGTATAGTATACCCACAAATTCACTTTTGAACCTTGGTCCGGTATATTTTATGTCATTATTCTGTATGTTAAAATGATCCCTGCCCAAAGCGTAAACCACGTTCTGCGTACTTAGAAATAACAGATGCTGAAATCAATTTTGACAGGGAGAGATCATCATAGGACATGCATTATGCATGTTGTTAGCAAAAAATAACATTTTTGAGTCTCCACATGAAACTGAGGGTCATTCATTGCTGTTTGTAGGTGCAGAGCTGCTGCGAGTGAGTACAAGTAGTTTGTTTGTATGTTCTCATTTCATATATAATGGGTATTCTAAGTTATTATGTACTATGTAAATTCTAAAATGTGACCTTCCTTGACTCATAACTATGAGATTAAATACTCAAATACTTGGTATGGTTTATTAAAGGTTTTATTTTTCTATAATATAGCCAAATTGGTGCTTTGTAAACCCTGACACTATCATGCTTTCTGCTTTTCTCATGTGCTACAACTTAGATCATCAAATTGTGTTAGGTCTGTGACCCAGAGCCTGGCTATGAAGACTTTTCTAGGAATCTTGGGGGTTTCCTGGTTTTCAAGTTCAGTGAATTTCAACTGTTTATTGGTGGAATAACTGGATCTATTTGCATTTTGAATTCAAGGTTGGAAACTGCCAGGGTGGTTTTGCATTTTTAAATTAGGAAGTTTCCTGACAAGCTTTTTGTCATGTGGAAATCTGACCTCACAGAAGCCGATGAGATTTTTAACATTAATTATAATAATGCGTGGCTGAAATCTTGACCTTGTCCCTTGTGTTGGGATTTTATCTGCTTTTAAACATATTCACGAGTAACATTTTTATGCCCAGATATGTTTCCAGAAGTTTTCAGCAGTTGTCAGATACTCTCAGTACTGTAGCTATGTACATCACAATGGCAGTGTCTCTAATGCTGATCATTAGTCATTAATGAATGGTTTCTCTACTGCTTCTATCAGAAATAATCCTTTATTACACTTAAAACATTTCGGGTTTCTGTATCATACAGCTTTTTCTTGTCTGCAGTATTATATTACAAGTGCTCAGGATTCTTAATGAATATATCTGTGATGAATCCATATGTCAAATAAGAATAAAATTTCAAGATAGACAAGGAAAATATTCTAGACCTTATCTGTCTCAACTTCAGTAAAACAGTTGGTATACTGCCTCAGAGGAATTGATCTGTTATGAGAGGAGGCTAAAAGAACTTGGCTCATTCAGCTTAGCAAAATGAAGGTTAAAAAGGGGTATGATTGCTCTCTGTAACTATATTATGAAAATAAATGCAGAGAAGGAAAAGAACTATTCAGGCTGTTGCCTCCAGATGGATATAATTTGGCCATGAACTAATTTACACTGGAAAGAAGATTCTAGATGCTCAGAGAATAAAGTTTTGAAATGAACAGTAGGAACAAACAAATTAGTTTTAGGATAAGCTTGCTAAACAACTGAAAGATTTTATGAGCTGGTTCCTGTGAAAATGATGGATGGAACTTGATCCATCACACCCCTGTGTAGTTTGTGTAGGTCAGGAGGTGAGGGGCTGACCAGATTCTGCCCAATAAAATATACACCATTTCAATGTTATTCTGCTAAATTGTTTTTGAGCTAATATCAAATCTGTAATTATATGGTGAAAAGAAAGTTGAGTATTTTGTTTGGAGCTCTTTGACTCTTTAACTCAATTTATTAACTTTTCTGTACCCCATTTATTTCTTCTGTGCTTAATAGTGATTTAAGGAAAGTTCTGCAAGTACATTTATACATGAAAGAATAGCTCTTCCAGAACAGTATGTTCTTGTTTCTGATTGATTTAAAGATTTAATTTAGTTTTTTGTTCCTGGAAAAACTGATTTTTAAAGAATGCTTAAAATGATGTAGCAGGGACAGGTCCTTTTCATGATATTTTCCTAGAACAAGTAAAGCATACTAGTTGCACATTCACTGCTTTTATATCTTTGATCAATACAGGTTATCTGTGCATGTCTGGTATTGCTGATATTGAAATGAATGTATTCTCTGTGACTCAGACACTCCTGTTGTTGAAGAGTGAATTTACCTTCAGTTGTTGTACTACAGGGTACAAAGTACTTTTCAGAATCTGAATCAAATGTAATGTGTAATTAAATAATCAGCACCAGAAAATAATTTCCCTTGTTTCTACATGCATCTTTGATCAGTGGTCTTGAAGCTAGCACACAGTATCATTACTAAAAGGGATGAATGAAAGTAATAAAATTATCAATGAAGTCAAATCACAGTATTCTTCTGTATTATTGCAATGCATGGAAATCCTGGCTGTGTATCCTTGTTATTCTAGATGCTGGTTTATATAGGCCTGGTGATAGTGCGTATATATTGCGCTAGGCAATGTGTATTCATAGCAAAGACAATGATGAGCACAAAGAACTCCTAAGTAGACCAAACACAACAATTGGATAAAAACAGGTAGTAAAAGAATAAGATTTATTGGTAACCATAGTAAGGAACAGCTGTAGCTCATCCACACTGTAGTTGTCACAGTTTCTACAGGCTTTATGGCAAAGAAGTTTTAAGACATCTGAAGCAAGATAATGAACTCTCTTAAGACTAAGACCCTAACCTGAAAGCCTATTTAAATGAATAGGATTATTTCTAGTGATGTCAAGGTGTTAGATCAAAACTTCCAACATTGTATCTGCCAAGGGAATTTTATAATCAAAATTGCTGTAGGATTTTACAGAATTAAGCATACTGAATTATACACGAGTATTCTAGGCATGATATGTTTTAACATGATTAATTCTGTATTACCTTTTGAATAATTCTGCTAGTTGACACAGCATGATTTTTTTTTCCCACATTCTCTTGGCCTGGTTATCACAGATGCCAATAATCATAATTACCAGTGAAATAGAAATGAGAAGTCATTTTACATGTGTTTATGGTGAATAATTTTAGCAGTATAATATCTTTAAAAAACCCCAGGACTTGTACTGAAAAGTGCATGATGTTTCGTGATTATCTTCTGGTGCAATCAATACAAAGGCGGTTTTTTAAGTATATTGTGTCTGCACACTAAAAATGTGATAAACCAAATTGCCTGATAAAAGGTTTCATAACATGAATAATGTTTTGTGCATTTATCTTGACTTCCAGGTATGTCTCTAAGACGAGTGCATGCTTACAGTTTGTTTATCACATATGCAGAGCTATCATTTATATTGTGATGTGGAAGATCCTTTGCATTAGGGCAAAGTTGTCAGCTTTGAGTAGATACTTGTATGCAATGTTGCTTCTATTTGCAATGCACTAGATGCAACATCTGTTGATGCTGAATCTGTAGTTAAAAGCATGACAGCTTTCAGTTGAGAAATAAAGCTAAGTCTAGTATTTACCTAAGTGGAATAATGACTAACTAATAATTAGGTGCTAATTTTAAGTATGCTGGATAACTTGAAGAAATAGTAAAAGTTATGGTGTCATTTGAGTTGAGTAATGCAAGACCTGGTACTACTTTGCTTAATGTTTCATCAGCACTTTGGATTAGTATTTATTCTTAAATACAGAGTAGTAATTATTGAAGGTGATCTCTTTCATGTTTCACACAAGTTAGAGGAGAACATGGATATTTGTATTTCTTGCCACCTAAATTATAGTAGTGATCTTGAAACAGAAATAGGTCTTTTGTAGGCCTTTCTTGTTAGAATTATGTTAATCATCACTCTCCAGCAAGAAACTATTTAAATATGGCAGCTCAGCTACCTTAAGTTTGCATGCTTTCCTTCTTATTTTTATTTAATATTATACATTCTTATAAAATCTTACTTAACCAAGAAGTTTCTGGTTAAGCTTATACATGGATATACCCCCCTTAACTACAGCAATTTTTAGTATCCCGTGTGCAGTTAAAACCAGGGAAATTATTACAGAAAGTTTTATTTAAAGATGGAGGGAGAGTAATTTAAAATACATCTGTTCTGTTAAAATGATGCTTTCCTTGGCAGTATGAAGACTGGAAAAAAATGCTTTTCTAAAAGCTTTTAAGTCTTTACTATGTTTGTTATGGAGTGGGTTGTACTTCACTTGATTTCGAGTAATCTTGTAATATCACAGCACACTCTTTTTGTGTGATACACTAGTTGTCCATAATGCTTTGTGTGTTGTTTTTTGTTTGTTTGTTTGGTTGGGTTTTTTTAATGCCTTTATAGTTTTAAGAATATGGAGTTACGGTACCCAGAGTTTTCTCTTCCAGCTCCCTATTTGATAGATGCTTGTGGAAGGCTCTTGAACTATATTATAAAAAGTTGTTTAGTTCTTTGTACAGGCAGAGAGACTAATCTTGGGGGAAATATCTTCTGTCTCAAGAAGTGGTTTGCTTCCTTAAAAATGTAATTAAAGTATCAGCTGTTTAGATGCACCCGGTATTAATGTGGAAGGACTAGTGTGCAGCTAGAGTTCTTGTCTTGAAAATTAAACTTGGAATTGATCCAGGCTTTGCTATGTGTATCAAAAAATATTTTTATGAGAGGCCTACAAGGCTTCATTGTCATCCTTACTTTTTTGGACATGCTCACATCAGCAGTAGGCTTTACTGACCTAAAACTGATGAGGTTATCCATATTGGTGTCTTTAATACTAGTTCATCACAATTTTTGCCTTGCACTACAAAAATAGCCTTAATGTTTGAACCTTATGCAGAGCCAGGGGTGCTCATGGAGAGGAAAGACCCTCCCAAGATGTGAAATCAACTTTATTCTCAAAATAAGGGAGGACAAAGATACTTTTTCAAAGTAGTTCTTTTCAATTAGGTTGTACATGGTACAATACTAAGGCACTGATTTAGTGACTTAGTCAGGTACCTATTAAAGACATAGTGTCTCTTTGATTGATTGCTTTTGTGGTCTACAATTTTATAAATTGTCATTAACTAAAAATATATACTGACTTATGCTTTGTTTGTTTCTTTTTTATGTTTGTTCAGGTTTACCAAAAATGCAAGTTATTCGAAACTACAGTGGAATACCACAGCCAGCAACACAAGATGGTCCACCATTGCATATCCAGATTGGGGACACAATTGAACTAATTAGAGGAGATGCACATAGCTTATTTTGGCAGGTATTGTATTATTTAGCAAATGGCTGTATTCCATCAGTCCCAGATATTAAATTCTTACTGATACATTGCTCTTGCAACTTTTTTCCTTTTTGAACAACAAATGAGTATCTTTGTTTTATACCCAAAATAAATGTCTAATACAACTATTCTCACTTTTAAATTGCCGGTCGTTCCCATGTTGGGTAAAGCTTCTTTCTTGCAGCCTTCAAGTAAAAGTCCTGCTGAATAAATCTTCAAGAACATAGCACTGGTAGCAGTCCTTCTAGTGAAATTATAAGAGTTAAGGAGAGCATTTGGCACATCAACAGCAAAGTCCTGTGCATTTTCAGTCATTGCTTCTCTAACATAGCAGAACTAAAAGCTGTATGGTCAAAACCCAGTTACAAATATCAGATTTATAGGGGAAAGAAATAGCTCTGCAAAATGGAACCACACCTAAACTTCTTGATCACCTCTCAAGTCAGTTAAGGACAATTCTTTATGTGGAAAACGTATATTATGTTGATGGTAAAATTAGTATCATGTGATTCACATCACTACTACTGTTACTGAAATTTCTTTTGAATTGAGAGCTAGAAACATATTCAAAGTGCTTTCTTGCATTCATTTTAAAGATAAATGCACTAAAGCATGTCTCATTTTTCTTAATTGTTCGTACTAGAATCCTGTGTACTACTGATATTATTGGACATAGAAATAGAGTTAAATAGAAAAATTTTCAGGATATTAACAGAACAACAACTGGGAAGCATCTGATGTTGTCTTGAATTGTTGTTCCTGTCTTTGTCTTCATGATTTTCTTTTTTCTTTGAGTTTATAATAAGTTAATGAATATAATTATAAAAACTGCTTCATCTGTTACATGAGTTAGGTTGTATGTTTTTTTTTTTTTGTTTTTTGTTTTTTTTTTTCTGGCTTCAGTTAGGATTGAATCTTCTCAAAACTCCTCAGGACTGAATCAGTGAACTCTGTTCCTATGTCACTGCATCATCCTCAACAACATGTAACCTGGGGGAAGTTACAAACAATAGAATCACTTTATCTATTAAAAAAATATGTAAATAACTGTAAACTTCCCCACCCCCAACAAACAAACAAACAAAGCAAGCAACCAATCCCACCCCTCAAACCCCGTTATTTAGCAGACCATAGATATTTCATGTCACTAAAAATAAATTGTTTGAAATGTTTGTTGACAGATTTTGCCCTATATAGCTTTACATGTAGGGCTTAGTTCTGCCAGGTTTTGAGTTCTGATCCAGAGAAGCATTTGAGCATGCCATTCTTGATTTGGGACTCACTAGAAGGTAATCATCTGACTAATACAATTAGTACAAGCCAGAATTATTGGCAGCTTGTGGGACTGATTCTGTTGCCATGTTCATATACATCCATCAACTCAGTCTACTGGAATTTGTCTTAGATGTTATTTGTACCTATCATGCTAAAGGATTTAGATAAAAACTCACTGTGTTTAACTAGCAGAAGCTGGAAAGTGCATGAGGCTTTTTCCCCAGAAGCATTGGTAATAGATTTGAATCTTAATGGAAATTGTCATCTCCATTAGTGTCATTCAGGAAATTTTTTTTCTCCCAAGCTCTCTTGTCACAGACTGCTTAATACGGATTTTCATAAGTCTTGTAATAACATCTGCATTTTAAAATGCATAATAAGGAAAAAGCCTGCAAAATACAATTTGTATTAAAACCTGTAAGTTTTATTCAAGAGGTGCTTTAGAGTAATTTACAACTGCCCTACAAGACTAATATTAGAATGGATTTTTAAGCTGACCATCACTCAGTTTAGAAATTCAAGTGCTTTTAATAGATAAGTATGTGTGGTTTAAGTATTTTTGCATTCTTTAAAGTACGTCAAATAAACACCACAAGTTACTAAGTGCTTAACCTATATCTTAAGTGCAATCAAATGTGCTTTGATAGATGTTAAAATTCTGCTAAGATAATGTGTGAATGATCATAGAGCAATTGTAAGTTCTGTATTAATTCAAGACCATATACACATATGAATCTACCTGTTTTGCAGTCTGGAAACCAGAAGTATGGGGTTTTTCCTTTATGAAACAGCAAATACTTTTCTGAGAGGCAAACTGAGCTATCACAGACACAATAAAATGGCTGGGATAATAGTTTCTGAATTCCATGAATTTGCTTTCTGCTTCTTCACTGGTATCATCCAAAACCTAAGCTTTCTTCAAAGAGAATGTGTAATATAGGGGCGATTGATACTGTCACAAGATATTTTACTCTCCTCAGTAAACACCTGGCTGCATATAAAGAGAAGGCTGGTCTTACATTGATACCCATGCGTTTCCCTTGTGCTTGACAACTTTTCTTTCCTCAGTCAAGGTGCAAGACTAGGAGACCCGTGCTGCTTGCCTAGCTGGTGCTTGGCTACCATAACTTGTAAAATGAAATAAGGAAAAGAAGAGGGGCGGGCTGGAGGTGGAGAGAGGAGAAAATTTGGTATTTTCAATGGAAATTTCAGCTGTCTTGACCAGAGCACTATTAGTTGTTTCAGCCGTAGTAGTGCAGCTTTGAAGTAGTCAGATTTTTATTAGAGATGTGAATATTTGTCTCCTCTTCTGAGTTTGGTTTGAGTAAATTGCTACCTGCTTAACCTGAGGGTAGGCTTTCAGGGGTGCTGCAATGCCTGTCATAAGTTATAATGTAATTCTAGTTTCACAGATTTGCATTGCCATTACCCACCATCCTCAGGCAATTGTGTTTCTCAAGTATGCCAAAGGAATACAAATATTTCTTGGACTGATTCTTTCCTTTTTCAAAACCAGCTTTTCTTTGATGCAGATTAAACCCCTATCAAGTAATAGCCATTACAGATGTACATTCTTATGCTTCAGTAGCTAGTGGTCCTGCTGTAAACAGACAAAAGGCATTAAATATTTTGTAAATATGATCTAAAATTGAAACACTGGGGAGGCAGCACTGTGAAAGTGCCGTCTTTTCCTTTTGGTTTGTGATTTGGTTTGCAGTTTTTCATCTGTTTCCCTCCTCTTTTCACCATACCTTGCAGTAAACAAAAGAAAAATGGGTGAAGGACATGGTAATTTATAAATTTTAACTATGCTGGAGTTCTAGTTCTGTGCATGTCCAATGAGGTTAATGAGCATTGCCTAGCTAAATAGCAGGCAGCAGTCTGGAAATTTAGAGCAAATGTGTCAAATGGCTTCAGAAAGTCTCCCTTGTTAAAACAGGTACAACAGTTATGAATCAGCCTCTAGTTTTGCTGAGACTGTCATTGAAAGAAATGGACTGAAGGGCTTAATTGACCCTTACATATATTTATATGTATACACACATGTAATATGTATTTTAATATATAATACAATAATTTAGATACACGATGTAATAATACATACATAATACACATTTTAAAACAAGTTCTGTCCAGTCCTTTGCTTCTGCTTTTACAGTGACTATAAGCCATGATAGGGCAGTGTTCAAGGGAAATGCTTACTCAACAAACAATAGCAATTAGCAAGCAGGAAACAAAGTAGAAAGAAATAATTAGCAGAAGTGAAGTATGGTGGCATAATAATTTTGCTGTTGTTAATGAGTTGATGGATAGATCTTAAATTTTGAAATCATCATCTGACAACAGGTCATGGTTTTGTGTATGAAAGACAACAAGCCATGATGAATTTAGCCAGGATTTCTAAAGTAAACAAAATAACATAGTTTCCTAAGGACATTATAAAATTATTCATATGAGCTCATTATTGACAGAGCATTTTCAAGTGAGGTGTTTTCCTTCAGCAATGTGTAATAAATCAAACCCTGTTCTGCTTAAGGATCTGCTTTTATTTAACTAACAAAGCCATCTACAGTTATCTCATGTGAAGCTTGTCTTCAGAAGACAGAGCCTTTCTTGGGTTGTCTCAGTGCTTGTTACATTCATGGTATTGCTCAAAATGCAAAGGCAAAGTTTTGTACTGGTCACAGTACTTGGGGATATTTTGTTTGATGAGAGAGTCTGTCTGTGTGACTTCTCTAATGCTGCTTTTGCTTTGGTTTTGGTGTACTGTTCATAGCACACATACTTCCCTTGGAGCCTCTTCTAGCCCAACAAAGCAACACTTCTGTGCCCCACAGCTGTACAGAACATCATCTTCCAACAAGTGGTGGTGTCTAAGGAAAATGTAGGATTATTGCTTGGGCAGAGAGTATTTCTTAATGTTTAATACTCTCATATAAATCTGTCCACTGATTATGCAGTTTCTCACCACTTCATTTCAATTAATGTTCAGTGACCTCCAGATGATTCACTTTCTGGTGCAAGTGCTATCGACTTGATGCCTACAGAATACTTAAAGTGAAAGTGAACAAGTATGTTACAATACAGCCTATGGATTGCAGTTCAGTTTCCTTATTCTGAATGTATATACATGATAATGTCTGCATTGCAGTAATGATTTAGCTAGTACAAACAACAGCTAATGTCATGATCTTCACTGCTCTGCTGGGTTTTTAAGATGAGATTCGTATCACTGTGTACTGCTAGCAGTATCTAAGTCAGGTGATGTAATGCAGATACATGATATTCTCCCATGGTCTAGTCTTTCTGTACATGCTACAGTTTCTTCAGTGGCTGTAATGTGCCTTTTTTTTATTTTTTTAGTTTTTACTTTAGGTCATAGAACAGCTCAGTTTGGTATAGTTCAGTGCAGATTGAAGCATTTAAATGTCTGCAAATCAAAACTAGCTTTCATTTTAGATTTTGGAGTGTGCAAATACATTTCTGGAAAAACAGTTAGAGACAATCCTGTAAGTATCCAGACTTGCAGGAGGAAGCACTATAAACATTATGAAACATTATTGAACTATTTGAAATAATGTCCCTTTTTGCACTTTCAGAAGGTATCACAAGGGTCTGTCCCTGACTTCATCAAATGTTGATGCTTGGCTGCTTTCTAGTTGTTGTGGACATAGGTTGCATGATGTGTTATCTTGTTCAGCTTCTTTCACTTTATAGAAATATTTCTCATGAATAGCAATGGTGTGTGGGCACATACAAAACTAATGCTCAGTTGTGTTCCTTCAGATGTTTTTTCTCATTAATTTATTTTATTCAGTGGCTTGTCTTGCTGACTGTGATCACTTGCTCTTCAGATGAGTTTAGTATTGTAAATAAGTATCACTTAGATGGGAAACTGTGTCAGAGCCCTGCTTGTAAGTTAAGTCTGTAATGCAGAGGTATTAATGTTTCAGGGGTAAATAGAATTATATGGGTGCAAAGGGTAACCTGTGTACAAGCAGATGGTGGGAAAGAGGGCAAGGAAGCTTTGCTGAACATAGGTTTAGATCTGTAAGACTGTCAGTTGTTTGCACATAATTATTTTTTAAATATCATTGCTATTCAGTATATTGTAGCTTAACTACCGATTAACTGCTTTTCTCTCTCCTCTGCATCCTCTGCACTTCTCTGTATGTTTGGTAAAGATGGCAGTTACTGGGATTACCATTTGTGTGTGATAAATTGCATAATGATCTCCCTAGGAAAATGGTGCACTCATTTATTGTGTTTAAGGTATCACAATGAAGGAATGCTTTCATTTTTTCATAAAGCCTTGTTAATTCTTGCTTTTACTTTCAGCTACACCCTGATTGAAATTGCTGAATTCTGTTTTGAATGGTGGTATAAGGGTATAATTACGCATTTAGTGTTACAGAAACAAAATGAATTTAAGCCCCAAAGAAATTCCATGACTGTTTCTAAAGCATTTTTTCCCCTTTTAGTTTTTTATGTTGCAGGTATGCCATCAAAAATAAAAAATAAATATAATTTTCAAGATTACAATGCTTGTAAAGTACTCCTCCTTACTCTCATTGCCAAATGCTGTTAGTATATGATGTTAGTGGTCAGGATATTAAATTTAATGGAGGCTAGGCATTTATGTACTTTTAAAAATCTGTTAAATGAAAACATTTGTTTGTCAAAATACGTATTTGGATGCCTTCATTTTATGTATCTGTGTTTAGAAATGTTAGCTGTGTGCTCTGCCCTGCTCTGAAAAATGTGGTCAGCATGATCACAGCCAACTGTTTACTAGGACCGGAAAGGTGTTTTTATTTTGCTGTTCTGTCTGGCTGAGGAGGTGTTCTTCAGGAGTGCTTGGTGTTGAATTGTGAGCTGCTGAAGCATGCCTTGCTGATGATCAGGTCACTTTTGGCTCTTAGAAGCTGGGAGTAAATTGGTGGTCATGCAACTTCAGGGTAGCAGCTGTGTTGCATAAAAGGCTCAGTTTAGGTTGTGCTGGATGTTTTTCTGCAGCTGGTCTCCCAGTTGTGTGGGTGAATCTACAACATGTTGTGAATATATCATAGACAGAGAGTTAATATTGAATTCTGCTAGTATTCTTGTGCCTAACCAATTTCCAATCATTTGCATCATTTACTGAAACTTTAACTATAGAGCATTGTGTCTGAATTGGCAGATTATTAGCCCTAAATTGCCGTTTGAGTTAGCATGATTCCTCAGGTGCTGCAGCTGCTGCTGCATGATGCTGTAGTCATTTTGTGGATCTGTAATGTTGCAGTGTGACAGCTCTCACGACAGTGATGCTAACTGACGAGGAAGTAACTTGAAAGAAGATAATTAACATTAATGAAGAGATCAGACACTAGCAGACATTGAGAGAACTGGGAATCACAACCCAGGCTCTGATCCCCCTTCTTGCATCTCACCTCTCAGAGCTCTGAGGTGTATCAGCTATAATTATTACTTAATTACATAAATTAAAAAAAACAAAACAACCAAAACAACAACAAAACCCACACAACTGTTGAGTAACACTTTATTAGAACAGCATTTTATTTTAAAGACTTTTTGATATACTCTTACTGTCCTAAATCTCTGTGCATGTATTATTATTTACTGTTAATCCCTATTATGTATCAAAAATAGAACTTTTTTTTTTTTTTCCTTAGGGCAGAAATCTAACAACAGGAGAGCTTGGATTCTTCCCAAGTGATGCAGTAAAGCCTAGCCCATGTGTAAGAACAATCATTTAATTCTGTTTGTTGTCCTACAGAAAAACTGCCTAGTTCATACCGTTGCTTTATTAATCTTACCTTATGAAAATCATATTATTTCTAGTTCCTTTGTGTTTTCATGCTATGTTCAGTATTGCTTGAAGTATAACTTTCTAATACTTTTGGTTATTGGATGCAAATAGGACTTGTCAAGAAAACATGTTTGAGAGGCAGATTTGTCTTGTGGGAATATTAATAAATTGAACTGTCTAAAGAGTTTCCAAAGCATAAAACAAACACGTTTTATGTGAAAGTGCGCTTCCTTCCTTCCCCAGCAGTAAGGCGAGAATGCTGTGCTTCTGATCTATTCCTCAGTCACTCTGAGTTAGAAAGAGGGATTACACCGTAAGTAGTGAGTTCAAAAATGCATAAACCTAATATAAAACTTTGAATTCAGATGGCTCAGTAAGCTTTCTCCTCTCTGTGTGTACTTGTCTGCCTTTATTTCACACAAGGATGTTCTCAATCTAGGAAAGTTCAGGATAAGAATAATAAAAAATATTTTATAATATATACTCAAGAGTTTTGTTTACAGAGGTGATGATGCCTTAATATACTGTACACTTGCTCCTTCACTCTGCCCTCTGTAGCACTGTGCATCGGATTACTGTATGTCCCTTTGTTGAGCTTAATGTAAACCTGTAAATCCAATAATGAATCATATTCCTTACTTTGCTTCAAGACAGCTTTACCTTCTTTTAATTTGATTCACAAAAGTTTGACTTATCAGTAGACTTGCATTCATTACAGCAATTGAGATATGCTACTTAAGTGGTTTGTAAGTAGGTGGAATCAGCTGTTAGTGGCTGCATTTCGGTATGCCTTTAAGGCTTATACTGTGCCTTGGTTTCTAAAATAAATATACATGTGATCCTAAAGAGTATAAATACATTAGCAGGTCTTGAGACATCTTTAGTACTCTGTATGTTAAGAATTTTGTTTGGAGTGATGCACAAAATATTTGTAGGAGCAAGGTATGTTATGTTAGGTGAGAGAACAGATGTGTAATAACGATGATGTTGTATGAACTTGGCTTTCCTCTCTCCACCCCTTGCTTATTGTAAAAGTCGTGGATTTGCTGTGCCATGGTGTCGCTGTTCTGGGCACAGGCAGTACCTGCTGTGTATTGGCACCAGGTTCTTGGAGCCACACAGTCAGTCATTGTATAGTATCATTGACAGCAACTGTAGCAACATTTTAGGAACCACCTCTATGCTTTAAAGCAGATGAAATGGGATATCCAGTTAGGAAAACTGCTACTGGGGTGCTGTGAAGATTGCTTTCTAGTGATAAAGCTTTCAGCTCAATTTAAAATATACTATTTAGAGGAGCTTTGAAAATAATACAGTTTTACAGAATGAATAAATATTATTCATGAAATGTTACCAACTGGTGTCATGATCAGAACAAAAAGATAAATTGATGCTTCACCACTGTTAACTTGGAAGGATGAAATATAACCATCTTATTATGATAAATGATGCAGTTAAAGATACTGAAACATCTATCAGCTTTTAAACATGCTATAACTTTTACTGTTATTATTAAGTCTAACAGTCTTTACAACCAGCTGATATAAAAATGCCCAGAAACAGCATAAAATACATACATCAAAAGACTTTAGGAATGACTATTGAATGAAAAACTGCTGAGCTCCAGAATACCTATATTCCATACTTTTCACAGATGTACCTATAAACAATTTTTTTCCTCTTTGCAATAAGTAGTATATGTCAGCAGACATTTTCTGCACTGTATGAGTAGTATCTGTTTCTCCTAGCTTTCCTCCAGTTTTCTCATTTCTATAGAGGTGTTGGATACATAGCACAATATGAACCAAGAGCTTCTGAAATAATGTTTGATTTTACTCTGTTTCATGACAATGAACAACTCTCATTACATACATATCTGTCCATTCAAAATTAATGGAAAAGACTACTCATCTATTGTTTAACTGCTCTGGAGAATGGACTTAAACCGTCTTTGAATTTTTATGTCCTTTCCAACATAATAGGACTACTTGACAAATTAAGAATATATTTTTTTTAAACTATTCTTTCTTCTGCTGCTGATAGAATGTATATTATTTAATTAGTACTATAGGGGATAGTACAAATCATTAAATGTGCAATTATTTTGTAGATTAAATATATTATTGAAATATCTCACAGCATGTAAAGACTCTGTAAGTGCCTAGGTGGCCTTGAAATGTCTCACTTGGTTGCTTCACTAAAACATTTCTCACAGGAATTCTTTGTCAGCATGTTCATAATCTGTTAATTTTCTTCCAAGTCTCACCATTAGAGTCAGAAGTACCCAAGTAACACCATCAGTAGCTGCACGGATATGAAGAGCTGCTGCTGCTGCCAGTGGTAGTACCTGGCTGTCTTGGGCCCCCTGCACTTCCAAGGGGTTTGCATACAACCAGCACTACAAATGCTTCTGTTAGAGGGCCCTTTGTCTACACTGTTTGGGAGTAATACATGTTTCCTTTTTCTCTCTCAAGACCTGGACAAACTTAATGACTGTTTTAATACCTGAATAGATTTACTGTTGTGCAAGCAGAACGTGACTGATTTTATCACAGAGAACCTTAATGTGTTCCATGCTAGTGTCTGCTTTGTTATTGAGAAAAAATGTGAGTTTTGGGCTGTCCTGTAAAATTCAGAAATTTTGGGTTGAGCACTTCGAATAAGTGGTTGTGTATTTATTTTGAGTGACCATTATGTCAAAGGCAGTAAGCAGAGCTTTATGAACTCTGCAAATTCTGATTCATGGAAATTAATCTTAACAGTGCAGGGTTGGAATTTACATCTTAAGCAAACTTAAAGTTAGCCAAAACCCTATTCTATCACAAAAACTGAGCAGTTTTTATTTACTTCTGTGGAGAAAGAGAAGTTAGGATAAATACTAATTTAATTCCTACTCTAAGTTTTTTGAGAACTTTCTCAACAAAGAAATGTTCTGAAGTTAACTAAGAATATACTTAACCAGTGTTTCAAGTGAAACATTTGGAGTAAGTGCATTATATAACTCTAGTGTTGAGGCTCCTTAGCGTGAAGTTGAGAGCCTTAAAATGGTGAAATTGTAACAATTCTTGTTTCAATAATTTAGGAATTTTGTATTCCACTAACTGCTTTTTTGAGGAGGTTGCAAGATTAAGTTACCAGCGCAAGTGGTCGTAAATATAATATTCCTCTGCACCTTCCCTCAACTCAATTGCCTGTTGTCATTTAATTAACAATATCCTGGTTCAATAATCGCTCCATATCCTCGTATTCCGCTTTTTTTTTTTCCATTCAAAAACTGCCTGTTAGTACCTCAGCAATACTGCTAGAATATACCATAGCGTTTTGGATATGTTAACACAAAAATTTTGCATTACTTGACTCTTGAAAGCCTAACTGCATGATACTGTGACTAAATATTCAGGGAGGTGGGGTTTTTGTGTTGGTTTTCTTGTGTTTGTTTTTTTGAGGGGGCAGAGTTTGTTCCATCACTGGAGTTTACTTCAAGATCAGGTGTAGAGACTTGATGGAGATCTTGGTTTGATACCTGAGATCAAGTTAGTGGGAATTGTAATTGATTTAAGTTTTTAGGCCTGTATAGTAATGGCTGTCTCTATCTGTGTTTGCAAGTCTCTGTTGAAGACATTCTATATATCATGAATAAAAAATGTGAGAAGAATGTAGGTTTTTCCCCCTCTTAGATTCCAGAAAATAATAAAACATTCATTGTTTTTACTATAAGGAAATAAAAAATAAAATCATTTGCTTATCTAAGAATATATTACATTAGGCTGTAACTCTGCAGAATGTATGCTAAGCTTCCACTAAAATAAATTTTTTGGCACTTTTCAAATTTCACATGTTTTAAAACAACAGGGTAATACTGGAGTATCATACACCAGTTGGAGATGGTCAAGATGAAATGCTGATTTTCATGGGGATCGTTACACTGTGCATATTGCCCGTATAAACTTCATCTGTGCACATGCTTATGTGCATGTATAACATCCATTTTGCAAACTGATTGTGGTTTTCTTACTTTTAAAAATTGAAATTAAAATTGAATCAAATTCCATGCTTATTCAAAACCAATACAAGAGTTAACCAAGTCAAATACAGAGGTGTAAATGATGTCATACAATACAATCTGTGAACTCAACACACTCAGAAGATTATATACTGTATTTCCTAGTAGACAATCTTTCTAAGGTCATAAAATCCTGAAAACATGAAGTGAATTTTATACATGTTACTGTAAATTTAATGCACATTTTAATGATACTCTTCAACAATATGTATTATTGGGCTATTTTATTTATGAAATTTGAATGTAGGCACTGTCAGAAAAACTTCTAACAGTTCTATTAAGTAAAGAAAATAAATCTGTCACATCAGCAAAGAGTTAAAATATTCTGTACTACTTTCAGAATGGTATGGAATATTGTCCTTTATTATAATTTCCTTCGAAAGAAAATAGACTTGCAGACTAATTAGATGATCTGTTTCTTTTAATTTGTTTCATCTGGATATTGACAATTAGATGAATGCTGCATAATTTGTGTTGATTAGTAAAAAATCTTGATCCTCATTCTCTTATATCTTCTCATGTCCTAGGTTCCTAAACCAGTAGACTACTCTTCACAACTGTGGTGAGTCACTGTCTAGTCTTACAAGAATCACTTTGATAGAAGCAGTCATAGAATGGCAATTGTGTTTATTACAATTTAATTTATATTGGTTTAACCTTTCTAGGATTCTGAAGAAGGCATGGTGTAATGGTTTGGGAAAGCAACACCATGCATTGCCTAAAAGCATTTCTGATGTTGTAAAGTGCTTAATGATTTTGACATTTTGTTTACAAATCTGTAGCTGTGTGCAGCCTTAGTCCCAGAGGTCTGAAACAGGGTAATAAGAGATGAATATAATATGAAGCATGCAAGTAGATCTTATATGTTAAGTGAATAAAGAGAAGCAATAATGTTAAATACATCTTGCCTTGTAAATAATTCTACATTTCCTATTAAAAAACCCCAAACAAACAAACAAACCAAAGCAAGAACAAAAGACTATAGAGACTGAAAAGGACAGTGTATCAAAACTACAACCACAGCTGGTCTGGTGCTTATGTAGTGTGTGAACTCTTTACCAGAATTAAGCTCACTTCTCAAAAAGACACAGTGACTCTGAGAGAACAGAATAAGCATCACTTGTGTTCTTTCACTGGTTTTATGCTTTGTCATTTAGACGCAAGTTCAGATTTCCTCTAATTTGCCAAAAGTGAAATCAGAATCAGATCTAAGCAAATACTGATTTTTCATAACAAGCCAGATAGAATGTTTAGTATTTAAAATTGGTATTTTAAATTAAATTCTAACATTTGCTTTATTTATAATTTTGTTAGAAGGCAGCATATCATTGAGATTGGTCTTTATCTTCTAAGGATTTGTAATACTTAACAGAAAAATTACTTTAGGCTGAAAACTGTTGTAAAAAGTCATGTATTTTGTGATAAACTTCAAAATGCATGTTCCTTAGTGTGTTTCATAAAATCACTATTTTTTTTTAAATATCTAAAGCTCCCTTCTATTTGGTAGTTGTGTATGAGTATGAAATTTTACATAGTTGTGTACTGTGATGATGACTGCCTTTAGACTACTTTCTAAAATGGTAAAGTAAGCATAATTTCCCCGGAAGTTAGATCACTTTTCTCAATTAACAGTTTAAGCTCTCATTTTGCAAATAAATGTCTGCTGACAGCATCTCATGAAGTCCCACCCAAACTAGCAAGGCAGAGCACAAATCTGCTTATGCAGTCAGGCTGCAGGATTGGTGACTGACTTGTCTTGGCTTTCAACTCTAAGCATCATGTCTTTCAAATTTAGACATACTAGGCTGAATTTTTTTTTTTCCTTGTAGATGCTTAGTTTACCCATTATACTTTATCCTTTAGAGGTTATGAATAATTATGAAACCAAATAAAATAGTGTGTGTGTATAAATACCAACTTTTTGTACAGGTCTTTTTTCAACATAATATACTACCGGTGGCTGATTCTCCACTCTATTAAGATAAATCCCCATAGAACTCAGGGAGGTTCAGAAGTTCTGTACCAGTGTTTTATTGTTTCACTTGCAAGACATGATTCAGGAAAATGTTTTTATGAGCTCTTCAAGCCAGCAGTTATTCAGTTAATGCTCAGGCTTGAGTACTTTCCCTAACAGGCATTGTATTCAAGTGTGCACAAGTACTTTTCTAATTAAGAATTTCACACAGACCCTCCCCAGTGCAGAATTTTTTTAGGCTTTATTCCTCACTCAAAGATCTGGAAGTGTGGTATTCAGTTGCAGCTGTTGAATTTTTAGGTCCCCATCATATGCAGAATATTGGGACTCTGCATTGCATATTTGATAGACCTTTCTTTGTAGCTTTAAAAAAAATCAGGCAATTTTTACTGTTCTCTGTTACAGGTTTGCAGGAGCGATGGAAAGATTGCAAGCAGAGAGTGAACTTATTAACAGAGTAAATAGCACTTACCTGGTGCGACACCGGACCAAAGAGTCAGGAGAATATGCAATTAGTATTAAGTAAGTGGAATAAGATCTTCTACAGAAAGTTTTCTTGTTTTCATTTATGTCTAGATATTAATTGAAATAAATAAGGAATACAAAAACCTGTTTCAATTTACGTCATCATACACAGCCTTTAAGAGAATCAGTATAGGAAAACTGAAGCTGCTGACAAAAATACCCAGGATTTATATTAGGAAGGTAGCAATGGTTTTATAATGCAGATATAGAAAATGGGTCTACAAAAACTATGATCTAGTAAGCAAGTGTTTGCAGGGTCATATGATCTGCTTCTCTGAAGTGTACAAGAGTGTTTCATTGACTTCAGTGAGAACTTGAAGCCCTTTGCAACTCAGACATTTCACTAAGTGTGGGTTCATAAATTCTGTGGATGCAAATTATTCTGAGGGGCTTGTTTGCTTTCATGTTGTTTATCAACATGAATAAAAAAGTAAGAAGTAAATGCAAATTCCCAGTTAAAATGAGCAGTTACTTTTGACTTTTTTTCCTGAATACAGATTACCTCCTCAGCTGTACTTTAATAAATATATTTGGTTAATTAGATGTCAACTTCAGTTTGGCACAGATATACATTTTTTCTTAAGTATTTATTTGTGTGGTGTTATCGGGGCATGCCCTCAGGTAATTATTGATTGTGTCTGATTAAAAACACATTTATATTCATAAGTTATTCATTGCCCACAGGTACAATAATGAAGTGAAACACATCAAGATTTTAACAAGAGATGGCTTTTTCCACATTGCAGAAAACAGAAAATTTAAAAATTTATTGGTAAGCATTGATTAGCTTTTTAACAATGTGTGATTTTCTATGTAGCTGTTGCATTTAACGAGAAATACTTTGGTTTGTGAAATTACAGAAGACTGTGAGAGTGAGGGATTTGAGTTGTGTCCATACCTGCTAATGGAATAATATTTCACATTTATGGAATATGCTCGAAGTGATGGTAGTATGTACATAAAATTTCATATTTACGTTTAGGACTGGACTCTGTCCCTTGCAGTGATGTAGAAGAGAGGAGGAATTTTATTCCCATCTGGGGATCCCATCAGCCTGCTATGGAGTTAGGCTGAATCTCGAAGGGAGAATTTGATGTCTTTGGAAATCTTTCTCAATATAGTATTGATCCCTAAAAGGAGCAAGGTGAAGGTTCCTTTCCAGCCTGGCACACGTCCATGTGCACATAAATAATATCTGTTGATGTGTAAGTTCAGAGGGAGAAGGATATAAGGTGCAGGTGTGTCAGAGAGCCCAGAAAAACTTGGGAGCAGCTGGTGTTCCTGGTCCTGGTGCACCGGGCAAAGAAGTGTAGCTAGAGAATGGGGCTGTCTAAACTGTTAATAGCACATGAATCCTTGTTGGAATATTAGTAATTTGGAGTCAATATCGACTAGTCTGAATTAAAACAACTGTGTGGCTACTTCGGATTTCTACTCTCTGTCAACAAACCACTCTAACAAACTATAGTAACAACACAGAAAACAGGCGCTCTCACTAACTTTCACTCCAACTACAGGCATCGTTTGTTTCCAGAAATAAGAGTTTGGTGTTCTAGCTGCACAGATCAGTGAGTTTTCAATGTTTTGTCGGAGTCATATTGTACTAGGAAGAAATTCCTTTTTTTGAACTTTAATTTGAAAGAATTTCTTGATAGCTCATTTTCCTCAGACAAGACTCATAAATACAAGGTGTCTGAATAAATTACCTTAGTGCATTTGTAAAATTTTATGGCTTAAGCATTTTCTGATGCATTGTTAAAGGAAGCTCATTCAATATATTATATTTAGTGCAATCAATTGGATTAAAACTTATGCTGCAGCCTTCTTGCATGCATATCTGAGTACTCTAAAACAATAAATAAAAATGAAGGACAATACAAAACAAGAGTAGGGAGAAGAGCTTTAAAACCAGGAAGCATTAGAAATGGGTCTCATTTAACCATTGATACTCTGTAAAGCAAGAGCATCCTGCAAGTGGTAAAAAACCAAGCAGAAATCTGTGCTTTGCCTGACCCTATTTGAAATAAGTGCTCATTAGAATGGAAAGAACAGAGATTTCCCGATGAAGAATCCACTATGGTGTTTCTGCACTGTGCCTTCATTTGACACTTCAAAACCAGTGAAATGTTTAGTCTTAGGGCTGGGGACCCTAGGATCTTATCAGTAGTAGCAACAGAAATCATGGTGTTCCTGAAATGCATGAAGGAGGTCCCTACTTAGTCTGCAAACAGTGCAAATGATTCATTAGAAACTGATGTGAACATATGAGTGCTCTCAGGATCTTGACAGTGCATGTGAGCTGGATTCGCATGCTGCCAGGTACCTTTTTGGCAATGATGCAGTTTAATTCACTGATGCAGGTTACAAAATAGAGATGAACAATCAGAGGTATAAATACAGGACACAAACTTGGATAAAAAAGAAATAGAAAAGAATATGCATTGTGTCCATGAACTGAGAGGACAAAAGAAATTTCGAGTGTAAAGGCCTCATCGCAACCACTTTAGCCTTGCTAACATTCAATTAGGAAAAAGTAATTTCATAATTCAATTTTAGAATATTATGAAATCTTCCCTTGAGAGTTAAATAGACAAGTGATAGTGTAAGTACTGTTTGCATATGCTATGGAACAACTGCTTTGTTCTGGGTAGATGCAAGCGAAAAAGTAACAGTGTCTGGAAGAAGAGAGGAACAAAAGTAGTCTGCATAGAACTGAGAGCAGAAGAGAGACAAAGCCAGCAGCCATGGAAACCTAAAGTAGTGATCTGCAGTAACACAGTGTTCTGTACGACTTTGAAGGTAACCAAAGTAGAACAACTCTTGTACCTAGCTCTCATAGACATTTTAAAAACTTTCACGAGAGTAATTAAAATGTGCTGGGTGTGTAAAGCAGGCCAAGGTGCAGTGAAAGGTGAGCTCTGCTGCTCATGGGAATCATGGTCATGGGACAGACTCCAGAGGAGCCCCGTCCACACTGGCTGCGTCTACTTACCTTACCTGTTTGTAAGCTTGCTACTGAATGTTTTAGAGGCCAGTTGTTTGTTGACTGTTTTCATGGAAGAATGATATTAAAAACTAAGATTTTAAAAGCAAGCAACTGAATCTTCGTGACCCAAAGTAATTTTTTTTTCTCAGTTTGGAGCCATTTTACTTACTTTACCGAAAAATAAAATCTGTCCATTTGAAATTCTTACTATCTTTACCAAACAGCGTAATTCTTACAGACTTTGTCACTTGCATTGACTGACATTGTCACTTGCATGCTGTGCTGATACCAGACAGCAAAGCCCAAACAGTTCTTGGCCTTTCTGCTTACCTGGAGTGCCTGGCAGGTCTGTGATTATCAACTGTTAAAAGCAGGTATAGATTTTACTTAGCTTTGGACTCTCCCTTAGAATCAGTTTCAGAGACATGCAACAGCTCACAGAGTGGGGAGTGAAGTGCTCCAGAGTTCAGAAGATCATCTTCAGACTGTTATCAAGAATTTATGGTTTATGCACTTGAACTAAATAATTTGAGAGTCCTTTTGTTTGGCTGGAATTAATATAGCACTGATGTAGGCTGTTGTAGGCTAATAATTTTTTATTTTTAATTTTTTATTTTTTAAACTGATTGAATGATTGAACACAGTACTATGTACTTATTTGACCTAAGCTTGACTTGGTCACCTTTGATTTTGGAAATCTAAATGTAAATAAGTTGAATGGAATAACTGAGTCACTGGTAGGAGTGAAGGGTTTACAGTAAATATGTTGCTTTGTGCTTGCATTTCTGAAGAGTGAAAACCCGCAGTTGGAGTGTCATTAATCAGATGAAATACGTTTCCTTTGAATTTCCTGGTCACTTTTAATGTTATTTTAGGCTCTGTGTACAAACTGTGTGATGTTGACATTATTAGGGCGAATTCAAATGTAAGAGACAATGGCAGGGGTTGAAGATTGCAAAGGAGTAACATGAGCTGTCAGTATTTTGGTGGGTGTTGCCTTCTTTAGAGTAGAAACTAAAGTAACTTATCTCCTTGGTTACATAAACTATTTGATCCAGCTTCTTGTATTTTCTTACATATGTATTTATGTGCATATATATAAAATTTGTCTGTGTGTCCATATGTATGTTTGTATATATGCACACATATACACACAGAGACAAATTTTTCATTTGGACCCAAGGGGAATGTGAAATGCTGGATTTTTCAGTCAGTGTTCACTATCTGGAAAAAAAGCAACCAATGAACAAAAAACCCCCCTACAAATTTTAATAGCAGAGCCTTGGAAGTTTAACATGGTCTGTGTATCTGCTCATTAATTTGGTGTTGACTTACATGCTTATATACAAGCTTTATGCTTTATTTCAGACCTGTGTGGATAAATATCACCTGTCATTCCAAAAGAAATTTTAAAAAACAGGTGGTTACCAGAGCAGCTGACCTTGCCTTCTGCCTGACTTCAGAAAAGCAAATACATGCTCAGCCTGGTTCAAAGGAGCAATAAGTGTTGACTCTGACAATAATGTTTTACTTAAAAAAAGCCCCAACAAAACCAAAAAAAACCCCAAACCAGTTATGTGACAGTGCAAAAGCAGTCAATATTTAGGATACTTGATTTTTTAAAACTAAACATGTACTGTGGGATTTTGTATTATAAAATAAAGTTACTTGTATGATAAAATTGACTGTACACCAGAATGTTGAAAAGAATGTGATTTCAATTTTCAATGACATAGTGTTTTTCCTTTCTGAAAGGAACTTGTAGAATACTATAAGCACCATTCTCTCAAAGAAGGTTTTCGAAGTTTGGATACTACTCTTCAATTTCCATACAAAGAATCTGAGAACTCAGTGGGACAAAGGAGTAACAGAACAGGTGGCAACTGTGAGTATTATAAATTTTTGTATATTATTTTCTGTCATATAAATATTAAAAGGACAAGGTACTTTAAACATCTTCATTTTCCATTTTTGACATATAACCAATTAATATGGTAATGCTTTTAGCTTGGATTTTTTGAAGCTAAGCAGACTCAGTTCTTCCAGGAGGTTTATAAACATGTCTAGCAAACTTGTCTTGTTGCCAAACTTAAAATCTTCCTGATATTCAAAAATCTATTAGGCATGCTGGTGAGAGATTAAACTGCATCCTGCCTAGTTTTTTCAGACATTTGCATACATGCAGCTACAAGTGTTAATAATATCTGTGACAATTTCTAATCCTTAAAAAGGGATTTAAATAAATCAGTCTTTTAGTGTAGCCATATGAAGTAACATCTCAGTAACACCACATAAATTTCTCAAAAAATCCATTAGATTTACTGTATCATAATTATTTTTACGCCTGCCTTTTCACCTTAGATGTTTATGACTAGCAGCTAAGCTTCTGAAATGAACTACTGTACAATGTAAATAGCAGTTTAAAAGTTTTCAACTTTAGAAATAAACTGAGAAAATTTACAATACATGTGGTATCCTTTATTTAACCTATTACAATTTACATGGAAGTTAGCATGATTTTTAGGACATGTACACATTCAATGCCAATGATAAAAACTACCACATGGCTGGCTTCTGGAAAGTATATGATGTTTCTGTCAAAGAGCAAATATTAGATTTGCAGTTCTGCAGACAGTGGCTGTATTTTTGTAATTCAACAGATAGTAAGAGGAAAATAAAAATTAATGGGGATTTTAACAATATGAAAACTGCTGTGAAAGGCTGTAGAGTCCAGTCTAGTCTTTGTGATGATGAAGCTGGATGTGTTACTTTCACTTGCTGTGTTTGTGAGCTTTTGTTTACTTGCTTGCATCTGTTCCATAACATTTCTATAACTTTGGAGACTTTCTTCCTCTCCTAATTAAAGTGAAGATAATTTAGGACAGATGATTTTAAGAAACCAGTGTGTGTCTGTGCATTTCATTTATTCTGTCTCTATCTTCCAATTCCTCTTTATTCCTTCCATTTCTGTTTTCTTTCACTGCTTCCCAGGCCTTCTGTCAGTTGTCTCCCTGCTATGCTGTATCTCAGTACATCTCCATTCTTGGTGAATTTATCTGTGCAATCCTTTCTTCCCCCTTTGCTTCTATCTTCCTCTTGTCATCTTTTGTGGTTTACTCATCCCTTGCCAATGCACAGCATTAAGGCTTTAATTGTTGAGAGGGTATACCTTGATTAATTTACTTTGGATTTGTTTGGTTACTATTGACTGTGAGCAGAATCAGTTTGTTTTCTTTCTTTTCTTAGGCCAGTTAGAATGTGTCTGTACGGTCCATCAACTTATTAGTCTGCAATAGTATTAGCTCAATCATTTAATGCTTTACAAGATACAAGACTTATGGTGCATCCTTATTACCTTCAAGCCACATACAAAAGAAAACATCTCCTTTAACAAGATCTTTTAGGCAGTGTATGGAAGAGCAAGAGAAATGAGTGTAGGATGCTCTTATTTTAGTCAAGAGGAAGAGAAAATGCATCTCTGCTACAGTAAATATGAACCATTTACTGTTACAAACTATGCTGGTGGGAACTGGCAGGTTTTGTCTTAGGCCAAACTGGTCAAAAAACCCTCTCAATTCTCATACTCCTCATATAAAATCTAATAGATTTCCACAATTCTGCTAGCTTACCTAGATTGTCTCTGGATGATGCTGTCATTTAATGGATTTGGCAGTTTTCTTTTAAGGTGTTAGCACGTCCCCATGAGTGCATTTTTGTTTGATTGATTGGTTTGATCTGTTTTTAAGCAAAATTTCCAAAGAGCCCATCTGTGAGCCATGCTGCTCAGTTGTAAAGCTATCCTGTTAGTTTTTCAAATTGATGTTAGGATAACTGTGCATCTAGACTGTGTGAACCCTGCTGAGTTGAATTTGGAAAGAAGTTGGTAAAATTTAGGCTGCAGTTTGGTTTAGTAGAGGAAGCAAGTCAGTCATGTGTCAGCAGTCAGAGATTGAGTTTACTTCACAGCCTTCTGTGACAACTGCCACACAGCTGGTTTTTTTGACCTCTTCCCACTTAATCTGAGTGCAAGAAGAACAGTTGTTGAAAGGAATCTAGACAAGTCAGATGAAGAGAGAGAAAGACTTGTACAACTGAAAAAAAATGGTAAACTACTCAATGTCACCATATTTTAACAAGCATGGGGATGAAGCTAGTGAATGCAATGGCCCTTAGCAGTTTGAAGCTGATTTTAAGGAGGTTTTTGAGTTTCAACTCACTGTTTTGCATTATACTATTCACATGATTATCTGGATATTTTTAATGAGGCCATCTTCTCAAAAGACATCAGTTTCTTATTCAAAACAGCTTGTCTTTAGCATATGAAGTTGACAAAATAAGTTGGAAAAGTGTTTCTAAAAAAACATGAGTTGAATCAGTGTAGACTTCGACAGAACTGTATAATTTTCTGCTGCCAAAGTCTTGAGCTGCTGTGAAATTGAATGGCAATACCAAATTAACTTCACTTTCTAGAACAATGTGAGAAAGGATTATATTATTTTTTGGTAGTTGTCATATTTTCATTTACCCATTGAGGGAAAGAGAGAATCAAGTAGCATTTCAGTTTACTTGCTAATTTCTGATAGGAATCATAATAAAACACCTTGAACACCTTGTAACTTAAATTTTCAGGGAATTTGATTCTCCCTTCAGCATCTACTAGAGTTTTAGAACAAAAATCTTCAGTTTGTGGAAATAGTTAATTTGGCTTCCCACTTTAATTAGAACTTTGCTTTTTAGTCTCCTGGTCTTGCAGAAGTCACCCCCTCTGTTCTGATGTTTATTGTACACTTTTAATGTGGTTGTAAAAGCTGTCAGACATTTACTTCTCTCAATATAGAAATTCAAGTTAATTAGGAAGAGTTTGGGGGAAATGGTACCTTTTTTCTTATTATTTTTTCAGTCCTAGGATTTTCTAGACATAGTATGATCAAATTTTGTTTTGCTACACAGAAAAATACTAATACTTACATTAGATTAGAGGGGTAATCGACCATTTAATGAAATAAAGGCAAAAATGGAATAAAAGTTGACATTCTTCTACAGAATAATTTTTGCACTTTATTCCAGTCTGCTGATGTAGAGCACAATCATATTGAGAAATCTGAGCCTTTATGAACTTTAGATTTTAATGTAACCTAAATGATGAAGCCAAGTACTATTTAAGCGACTGTTTTGCATCACCTATAAACTAGGAGTAGGTACATTAACTAGTTATATCATGTCATTTTACTACTTAATGCATTATTAACTGTGTAAAAGTATCTGTTAATAAAGTAAAATAAAATAAATGTCACCCCAACCCTTAAGGAAACAAAAGAACCTAGCCTTTCTCCTTAAAAGCCGACACCAAGACCCGTATTGATAACATTTAAAAACGGACTAGTTACAGGTAGAGATCTAGTAGGATTTCCATGCCTGCATAGGTTTAGTTGTCCAGAATTTCACATGTAAAACCAAACTTCCAGTTAGATTGGACAGAAAAACTTTTAAAAAATTATGATAATGTATGGACAGGAGAGGAGCAGCCACCCCCTATATAGCAACTAACTTGTCTTTCTTCTTGCATGATACTTTTGCACACTATCGTTGTATTCCAGTAGAAATACAGGCAGTTATTTGTCTCTAAGAGTGAGCACACTACTTCAGTCAAGTTACCTTTTTGGTTGTTGTAATGTATTTCCATACAGAGCTGTCATCTGTGGTTCCTAGCTCCAGTATAAAGGAGTTCCTCAGATAACCTCATGCATTCTGAGATAATCCATTTAGTATCAGAGGTGGAAAAAGGATCATCACTGTAAAGGATCTGAAGGGAATTTCTAGTTCACAAGAGGCCCTGGAGTATGTTTCTTTTGTATTACTTTGAGATACTACCCTAAACTGCTGTTGGTTTGTGTTGTGTTTTTTTTAAAACAAATAACCCATGACTTATGTTAAAATACAGTATCACTCCTGTTTAACTCATTTGTGCTTTTATTTTCATTTTCACAAACATACCTATTTTCATCCAGGTAAGATGCACAAAACTGTATCATTACCTTCTCCATAGATTCTTTGTTCATTCATTGCATAAAATAGTTCTAGTTGTCATTCCTGCAAATAACCATTTTGAAGCAAAATTATTTTGTTTCACGTGTAGTCGCAAGAGTAAGTTCAGGGAAACAGCTGTATGTGATGAATATAACCCTGCTACATTTTTAAGGAACACTCTTGGTCAATAATTATATATATTAACAGGCATAATTTAGAGGCTACATTATCATTTATCTAGTTGAGGATAGAATTCCCTTTCTGAATCACAGCTGGGAGCAAAGATCCCAACCTTATGAGACTTGGAAAACTAAATATCTTGGTTGCCTCTTCAAAAGAGGGACAAAATGTGAGAACATGTCAACAAACTAGTTCCATTTGAAGTGATTTTTCTTCATTTAATCTAATTTTGTTTTTAAAAATATGTTGACCCTAGGTTGGTTTGACAATAGAGCAAGTGCACTGCTAACCTTTCACCTGAGGAAGCTGTTACAGGGAATAGGATGATGTGCTGGTTCTGCCTAGGTCAAAATTTTTTTTCTCGCTCGAGGGTTTTCTTTCAAGTCAGGGAAAACTGCGAAGATGAGCAATACTGTTTGGGCCTTAGAGGATATAATTTAGCTGTGGAATTCCTATTGATGTTAAAGATTATCAGGGCAAAATGCATACTTTTCCCCATGGATATTATGAAACTCCAGTTCAACTATATACCTAATTAAGGGCATGTGACTAGTCTTCCTGGGCTCAAGAGGAGTTCTTGCGTATGCATGAGTTCCTGCTTTTGTACAGTTAAGAAGTGGGGCACACAAAACTAAAGAAGAAAAAAATTTCTGTTAAATCTGAAAATATTTGCAAGAGTCTGCAGTTTTAATTTGCTTCTCTGAAACCCTGAATGGGTGTCTTCTTTCTACTTTACTCTTTGAAAAATGCAATTGTTAAAAATTAAATCATAGATCCAAATTTTCTAGTTATTATAGTCAATTTCCTTCCAGACATCCTCAGTAGGGAACCTTAGTTTCCTTATTATCAATGAATTATATAGTTAAAAAACTATTATTTAAATTTTGTGCCAATATTTCAATGTTCTTTTGCTTTTCTCTTTTTCTCTTTCTTTCTCTAAGCCCCTTCTTTGTTCTGTGGGTTTTCTTTTGTAACTCCTCCAGACTACAGCTTTGATCCCCCTTCCTCCACTCCTTTCTGGTCAGGTACTGCTTTACTGCATTTATATTTCTTCTAAATTTGCTTCTGTTGTTTTTGTGTGCAGCAAGTGAGGGAAGGGACGAATCTAATACTTCAGTTCTTCTCTGATTCCAAAACCGGAGTTATTACATGTTGTTCTTGGAGTGTAACAAAAATCAAACTCTTAACTTTTGAAAAAGTATATGCTACAATAAGCAGTTTGAATAGGTGTTGCAAAGCTCAATAGTTGCAGCAGATTCAGTGATGACTCGACTGTTAATTTGCTATGTAGTTGACATCTACAAGCTATATATATTGTAATGTATTTGTTCAAATGCACAAACCTAAAAATTTCACTGCTTGTCAATAAATGATATATTCGTCCCGTCCCTGTAGCAAAACATACTGCAGTAGCATCTTAGAATACAGTAGTTTTTTTGTAGAAAATGCTTTCTTTAAATTCTGCATTAACATTGTTAATAATTTTTACCCATCTGTTTTCTAAATATTGGTTTCTTTATTCTAATTTAACCATCACTGGATTTAATAGATGCAAGCATTTTAAACTAAGAGACTGCATAAAAATGCTTCAAGTAGTAGCAGTGGTAGTCTCAATTAGTGCATCAGTATGACTTGCTCTGGTGTCTAAGACCTAATCTTCAAAGAGTTGAACTGCACTGCAGGACAATTCAAAAAGAATTTTGCTAGCAGGAAAGTAAATGCCATCAAGGACTGTATGGAAGGAGCTACTACTGTTGAGAACACAGTGTTCACTCATGTTACATTGACACACCTCTGTGTACAGGGGGTGGAGGACTTGGCCTAGGTTGTGCAAATAAGGATTGAGACTGGCTTTTACACTAGGGAGAGGGAGGTGTCTAGCATGTATGAACACAGATGTAGCCATAATCATGGTCTGACTAGGAGATCGGAGTAGGCAGTATGTTTTATGCCTGCCCCACAGAGGTCATCCAGATTGCTTGGTGCTCTGAGATGGATTCTTAAGGCTTTGCATAGTTTCTAGGGGGGAAAAGGATGTAGTTGGCAGCTCAGTAGTAGAATGGCCAGTGTGCTTGCCTGTGCTGAGAGTGTCTCTGATGAGCCCTCCCTTGATTCATGTCAGGGATTTCAGTCTCGATGTCTTATACTGCTCTTGAATGTTTTGCCCCTCAGTTGTTCACTGTTTAGGAGTCTGTTTCTTCCAAAAGCAGATACTTTTACTTCTTCTCAGTAGTCACAACGTTGAGTGAGACTCCAAGCCTCAGGGCACTCTTCCAGTTGACATTTACTATCTAAAGGGACTCATCTGTAGAAAAGATGAATAGAAAGCCATTCATGTATAGCCATTTACTCTGTGGTCATGACATTCAGCTGGAATGTCTGGAGCACTCACCTCATTTGAATCAGAGAACACAAAGGAGTTAAGTTCTGGCCCTTTATTATGAGTAAATGCTATGAGCTTCTGTCCTTTTGGGTGAGGATAGGAGATAACCTCTTTCATTTAGCTGCACAGTACTTGATCATGAAGTACATTCTTACTGAAACTGGTATCTGTTCCATGAAAACAAAATTATGAAGTGGCCTACAGTGGTGGAACAGCAATCAAGATTCAGGGTTACTTTAAGCCAATCAGACATTCTATGTATTCCCATATACGGTTTCAACAAATTATAATTAGATTTCTATTTTCATATGGAAAACTGCTTTATCAGAGAACTCTTACGTGACTGTCACAATAAGTAAAGATTCAATACCTTGCATATCACAATATGGTGTGTAAAGTATTTCTTTATACAAGTACAAAATATTAAAGGAAAGTATTGCTTAGTAATTCTTAATTTATCGACCTGTTTGGGATTTTATATTCTGATAGATAGGCTACATTACTCCATATGTTCTTAGTAAAACCATCTTTTTTAAAATAGCCAAAGAATTTGCTTACATTAAATGAACAAATAACTTATTTCATAATACTGCAGTATTTATTTTTCTAAAGGATCCACAGAGCTGGCTTAGTTCTGCTGATGTGGAAGTTGGTAACACAGGAGGAGGGTTAAGCAGACTACTGGGCGCTACTGGAGGTGCTGCCCATGTTTGTATAATAGAACTGAGGTTTGGTTAAACAGTGCAAGTGTATGTACATTGCTTCAAGGAGCGCAGAGACTAATACACAGGAGCAACCCTTAGGGGATATAGCTGCAGAATTATGAGAAGGCCATACCAGGAGAGGGAAACAACTACTCACAGCTTTTATAATGATACATTGACCCTTGTGGAATTTAAGCATGGGCAGGAAGGTAAGCTAGACCAGCCTGCTGTGATAACATGGAACCTCTTTTGTTTGTACCCCAGTTCCTTCATAAGTGGCCCAAACTAGTCTTAAAATTAATTTTCAGTACATCTATCTCACCGTCAATGAGAAACTTTTCCAACATACTCTACTGTGAATCAAAGCTGACTATAGTTCCCTGTCTTTTCTGCTCCTCCTCTTTATAGAAGGAAAAGCTAGGTTAAGCAACAGTGTACTTTTCTCATTCACACATGTACCTTTTATTTACCTCTCTCAGATTTTGCACTCTATTTCCTGTTAATCCTCTGAGTAGTTCCCTCCTAATACACAAAGTTTATTTATTGCTGCTTTCTCAATAGCTACATTTCTGTTTTCTTGCTCTTTCTTTTTTTACCCTCTTTAATTTCTCATTCACATACTGATGTCGGGCACTTTCTTTTCATCAGTCTCTGCTATTAATCCCATTCTCTCCTTCCTCATTCTCCCTCTTTCCCTCCTTCACTCAGTGTTTCTTCTCTCTCCCATCTGTATAGATGTCCTTTTCATATGCTGACTGTTGTCCCTCAAGTTTCATTTATCCTGGGACAGCTCTGATAGGGAATTCAGGACCAATAGTCTCTGCCCAAGCTTTTTTTGTGACTATGTCACCAGAGAGATGTGGTCAATATTTTTTTCCAAGATTAGTACTGTAATTTTCCTGTATTCCATATCTCATCTGGCTTCCTTTTATATATTTCCTAACATGAGGATCACTTTTATTTGAAAATATAGATGTTGGATTCTAAATTAATATAAATTCTCCTACTTTCTGCCTCAAGACTTTTGGAGATATACGGTTTTGATTTCTCTTGCTTTTTTCTCCTTTTCCTCTCTGATTTCACAACTTGAAAAAGAGAAGTTCTCCTTTCCACCAGATTTGCCCCTCTTTATATCCTATTTTTTCCTCAGTATTTTCCCTCTTTATTACTCTTCCATGCATTTCTCCCCTCCTTAGTTCTTTTCTTCCATGTTTTCCCAAATTTATTCATCTTCACCTTGTGTAATCTTCTTCCTTGCCCCTTTATCTCCTTTCTAGAATCTGAAATGATACCCTGCTCCCCAGAATCACTCCTTCCACCCTGCAATGCTTTCCCAAATCTGCCAGTAATATTGCTGCACACCTATGAATGGTTACTGACCTTACAATCAATAACTGCTATTATTTTTTTTTCTTTCTCCAAAACAATTGCTGTCCATGATGTGTTCTATCCCTGTAAAACTGATTACTGCAATGCTGATAAGGTATAGGACATAACATTCATGGCAGGATCTAAACAAGTAGCATCTACATCTGACTTGCTTAGAGGGGAAGAAGATTGTTTGAGCTTTAATTTACTTAATATATCACCTAGAATTTTACAACATATTTATATTGTAAATTAAACAATTTATGGAGATGTTAATTCTCTTTTATATAGCATCCTGTACCAAGAGTCTGATAAGCATACTTCACATGAGCAGTCTGAAACGTTGGACTAAACTTAAATGGCATGATATAAGTGGCCATCATCTGTTGCCAAAAGAGCTTTTTAGGCATTCTGATTTTGTGATATATCTAATAATATTTTAAACATAGTATTTGTTGTTATTTTAAAATAAATTGTTTATATTGTCTCTTTAAACTCAAAGTATTTGAATATATAATGATTTTTATATATTTAATACTATTATGCAAAAGCCTCTCTTTCTGTGAAATATCTCCAGTGGGGTCAGAAAAATTCTTCAATACAAGCAGAGCAAAAACTGGGGAGAATTTCTAGCTCGTTTACCATGTTTTGTGTTCCTGATTTAAATTGAAGGCAACTAGCTATGAATGCTTTGTGTTACGTTGTTGCAGGCATTACTAAAACTGGAATCTTAATGGTATTTCCTAAAGACAATTTCTGAAAAATTGGAAAGGGTTCTGAGAAAAAAGATAATTATATATGCATTATATCAAGTCATCCATCATGATCATATGATGAATTCTACTGAAATCTTTTCAGTAAGAAGCTTGCTTGTGCTTCCGAACTCCTATCTACAGTGACTTACGTAGGAAAAAAATGGCATTAATGGAGAAAAAAAAAAAAAAAAAAAAGCTTTGACCAAATAATCCAACTACAAAATGCATTAGAGTAGTAGATGTTTTTTCTAAACTGCCCAAGACAGAGGCCTTTGTATCTTAGTTGCCATGCCCACCTCTTTGGAAGGGTCAAGGATTCCTTTTGCAGGTTTGGACATTATACATCAAGGTTGAAAACATAATTTCCTGTAAAATTATTTGGGAGAAGAGGATTGGGTTTTGAAATTAGGCTTTTTTCACATTTGCTTTTTAAAAATATTTAACAACTTCTTATTGCTTAAAATATCTGGCTTTTACATTGGCAAAATGCTTAAATATTGATGTAGCTCAAAATTTTTAAGTATTAATTTAACTGAAATTTAGGAAAAAATTTGTAAAGGTTTTCTAAAGTAAAAACTTCATTAACAGTTTTGTAGAACAAATTCATTGGAGATTTACAGAATAAACTACTGAAAAGAGTAGATTTACATCAGCCGATGTTCATGCAGATTGTAACAAATGATCCATACAAATTTCCTGTGGAAACTCTTTACTTTTTTTGCTCATGCTGATGCTAGCTTCCAATTTCAAGTGCATTAATATTTAACTTGGGAGCTGTTTTTGAAAGACCAGCAACTTATTCTGTTTGTTTTGCTTCATTAGAGGTTTAAAGTTAAATCAACTGTAAATGCTAATAATTCTTTTGGAAAGAAACTAGTGACCTGTAAAATATGTTGATGCATCTAACTGGCAGCAAGTTTTATTATGAAGCACAAAAATACAATAATTGCAAATTTGTTTAGCAGTTGCATAGTGGGGGATATTTTATTTATAGTTCATCTAGTTTGACTTTTTTATAAAAATAAAAATCTATTTAAAAAAATCAAAACTATTTTTAAAAAATCACATAAAATTCCTTCAGCTTTTACACCGTTCACCTGTGTTTAAACCTTGATCTGTGTAGTGCAGATGCTTTCACATTTGCATTACATGGATGCCAGTGTATGTTGTGAAATCATTGTTTTATGTTTTACTGTACTGCTCTTTAGTAGCCTTCAGTTAACAAACCCTAATACCATTAATGTCTGTTTCATTTCAGTGCTAAGCCCAAAGGTGATAGGCATTGCCATAGCCAGGTATGACTTCTGTGCAAGAGACATGAGAGAACTGTCCTTATTAAAAGGGGATGTTGTAAAAATTTATACAAAGATGAGTGCGAATGGCTGGTGGAGAGGTGAAGTAAATGGAAGGGTAAGATTGTTTTTTGTTTTTTACTTTGTCTTATTTCTGCCTTCACTGATGCTAATTTTGTAAAAGAAAAATAAGGTGTATTCCTACATCATAAACCCTCTTTGTATGTTTAAATTCACAAGATACATGTTCTCATCTGTGTTTCATATGAGCCAGGCAGAACTCTTGCCAGGCAGCTTTCCCAGCATCTAAATTAATTGGTTATTTAATGTGACCTACCAGGCTGAATATTTGGGCAAGATTATATGGTTGGAAAATAACAAGGATTAATAGTACAACTACGACTGAACTTTCTTGAACTGTTGCACATATGTATTTGGGGTCCAAAGCTCAGGTTCCTGATGCTGTGGAAGTCTGTTTAGCAGTTTAACACTGAGTGATTTCCACACCTTTCTACATTTCCAGCCTACAATGTGATGAAATCAGCCACCTTTTTTATAGGAGGTTGCTTCTTTGATCTATAAAAATGTGGCTGGTATGAAGTGGCATATTTAGCACTGAATTTTACAAAGTCACTTTATGTTGCACTCTGAGACTTGCATGGAAGTAAAGTTTCACTTTTGATCTATAAAAGTTCTATTATTTCATTCTTAGTATGTTGCTCTTTAATGCACATGAGTCAGATGTGTTTGAGGCTACTGTTTCCATGTCTAAAGGGCTGAGATGCAGGGTCAAGGAATGTGAGGTGGAAGAAAGTAGATCAGATGGAAGCTGGATATGAAAGTTGCAAGTCTTGTTGAAGTAGATGTCCAGATTTACTGTTTTATGCAATTTGGAGATTTTTTTTTTTTTTTTTATATGTACATGAGCCTGGGTATGATCTTCAAGTGAAAATGATCAGTTAGACTAGAAGATTCAGGGAGGCAGAAGAAATGGTGGTCATTCAGTGTACATTTTACATGTGAAGAAAACTAAGCCTCTCATTCTAATGCAGCTGCCCACGTGCTAAAGTATGCCCTGTTATATGCTGGCGTTCTTTCTGATAACTTTCACAGCCTGGACTTGAGATCATAAACTCTCCCCTGGAGATATTTTGGCAAGGTAGCTTAAAACTAAATTTATACAGTTACTGCCTCCAATCACGCTCTAGGTTTGGTTTTGAGGTCTTTCATGAGTGTTAAATTGACTTAGGTATAAAGAAGTCTGAGTGAAAAACCTAAAGCGAATAGATAAAACAGTAAGAAATACATGACATTGCTTCCCTGTATGTCTTATATTACCCTTATTTGACACATCATTAATTTCACAATTGAGATAATGTTATAATTTATGAAGTGTGAAACACTGGACTCTGCCTTCCAGTTCTATCTTATTTAGAACTCTTGTTGGTGGCAATGGAACTTAACTCCATGTAATGCAATCAAATTGGTCACTATTTCCTTTGTAAGAGGATTTTCTGGACCTAACTGAAGCCTGTTAAATATTTAACTGCTCATTCAAAAAATAGCAGCATCCTGTCTGTAGTAAAACTACTTCTGCTCTTGGCATTTCTAGACTTTTTTTCTGAATGTCTAGACTTCCAATTTGGGCAAAAGTGGGTTGTGTTTGTTTGCTTGTTGCTTTGTTTTGGTTTTGGCTGGTTTTTTTTTTTTTTTTTTTTTTTTTTTTTGTTTGTTTGTTTGGTTTTTTTTGTTTGTTTGTTTGTTTGGGTTTTTTTTGAGGGGCTGGAGAAGGATTTAGTCTCCAAATTGTCATATCTGCAAGTTATTCTTTTGAGTACTTACCCTAACTGTGTCAGGTCAAGTTTATCTTTGTAATCTTATTCTTATATTTACTGAAGAGTCCCATCCTTGTTTTGCCTAGTTCAGCCATTTAAAAAAACCTGTGCATCTCATGTATTATTTTGTTCTGCTTTTCCCCTTTTTAGGTGGGCTGGTTTCCATCAACTTATGTTGAAGAAGACGAATGAATTAAAAACTTTCCTCTGCTGACCAGCAGTTTCAGGGATTGTAAACATTTAATATCTTCAAAGTGTTATTGGTCTTGTTAAGTATTTAAACAGCAACATTTTTGTCTGTCTGAACCTTCCAGTCTTAATGTTGGGATTTATGGAGAAGTCTGTGCTGACAGATTATTACCTTGCCCAGAGCTGTGCAAGAAACAACCTGCCAGTTTGTCATCACTGGGGATCAGTACAAAGTCCAACCTTCACCTTCCCGGAAGATCTCTGGAAAACAAATTTCTTTATGCTCCTTTTCATTTCACCCTGTACTACACCATGAATACTAGCTATGGCTGAATATTTAATAAGTCTCTTTTCTTCTAGCTAACATCTGTGATGGTACAAGGAGATGAAGGCTTGTTATTCCTTATCATGGCATGCAGAAAACAGAGTTCAGTCATTCCAGTGGGCATAAAGTGTAGTCAGTAGACTTGTCTTGAAACATCAAACTACTTACCACCTTACAAGCATTTTTACACTCACAAAAACTTTCTGAAGGAAATATGTAGTAAACATGAGTAATGTTCATGCATATATAATTAGCTAACTGACTACTTTGAAGTCCTGCCTAAATCTTTTAACAATTTGTTTAAAGACAATATTTTAAAAAGGTGTAGTGATGTGGTATTGCTTGAAAAGTATCCACAAAGTGAAATTGTGGGGTCCTTCCTTTGTCATCCCAACTTCTTTTGGGTAAGGTTTTTTCATTTAAGCAGCTGAATATAAAAATGCAACTGAGGATAGTCATGACAAGATGAGTTTTAAAATTTTCAGCATTAACATTAAATAAATACTGTAGACCTGCAGGAGAATATACTAATGCAAGATAATGTCACTTCTTGAACAAAACTTTATCTTAACCTCTGATTGATTCAGATGAGCTTTGATGCTTCCAACTTTAAAATGTCTTTTCCTAATTAGACAGGAGTTTCTATCATCTTTTGTGCTCTTATAAGGTAATGCTTGCAGACTTCTTCATGCCCTTTCCTCTCTTGTTCCCTGGGATGTTAACAGCAATTCAGTGAGTGAGTGGTCTTGTTGCAATGTTATGAACATCCCCAAGAAAAAATGTGTCTAGGTTAGCTAGCTTGAAATATCAGGCCGTGTAAAGTGATGTCCACCCCTTCTTAGGCAGTGTTTTAATATTTATGGAGGGCCAGAAGATCTGTAGTTACAAGCTAAAATAAATGTGGGTAATTTCTTCGGATATGCAGTTTTGAATCTTTAGATGATGTCTAACCTGGCTTGAAAACTTCTGAAAAAATAAATCTCTCTTTCTATGGTAACATTGACCCATCAAGAAAAGTTAATTCATCCTGTCCCACATCCTCTCTTTTGTCTTTCCCTGTCCTCTTTTCACATAGACCTCTTGCAATTAGCGTGCACAGATGCTGCACTATTTGATAGTGCAGTTTTTTCCCACTCTACAATCAATAAAATATCTACTATTCATCAACAGAGCAGAATCTGCTAGTACATATTTCAGATTCTTTTTGGCTGTCCCCAGTGTTCTTTGCTTCTTTCTGGCCTCCTCCTGGCCATCAGGAAAACCAAGCACGGCACAGAGGTTTCACAATAATCCCCTTAATCTCTGCAAGAATTTTACCCATCTGCTACACCTAGCATACACTGCTTTGTGACCAGGTGAAACATAGGATCTTCTAATTGGAAGTTCTCCACTTGTGAGATTCAGCCTTGCAGATGAATCTCTGCTGATGCTCTAATTTTTTAAGGATTTACCTCAAAATTATGTGAACTGTGATTGTGTTGAGTACATTACTTGATGGAACAATTGAGAGCATTTGTAAGTATGTAGTTTATGCATAAAACATATTTTGTAAATGATCTGTACAGCAGTGTAGACTATAGTATACCGTCTTTGATCATGTTTTGCCATGCAGTTGTATTGTCTGTTATGAGCTTGATCCTGTATTCCTTAAGCAGACAAAGTTGATTCTTTCACAGTTTTGCCTGCTCAAGGGGTAGAGGAGTAGGCTCTAGGCCAATGAAGTGTTTAGTGCTTTGCTGTCATATAGTTCTGAGAAGAGGCAGTTTAATTCAGTATGAGTTGAGAAATACATCAGTCATTTTCAACATCTTGCTTTTAGAATAAATCTGAGTAGTCTCTCCATCCTAAAGATGCTGTAAGGCTTTTAAGCAATTCCTGAGTCAAGTAATCAGCCTTTGAGAAGAATGAAAGCCATAGCTAAACTGACTTTTGTGGCATAAATCTACATATCATTGTCTGTGTTTAATGCCCTGTATTGATTGAGTTAATGCTGCATCTTAAACTATATTTTGAGTACCAAAGACTTCCTAAATACTCTGGAGTGTGTCTTTCATGTGCTACTTTTGCCTGTATGGAGGTTTTGTTGTCATGCAATAATGGAGTTACAGTACTTTGATTTGTACTATTGTGTAAATATGTTAAATATAATAAACTGGTTAATTTTTTGTTTAATGGTATGTGTCAAAATGCACAGTTGGCTAGTATGAAGATTGTGCTTCGTTTGTCTAACCACTTTCTTATTGTGAGTAGAAGCTGATAATGTTCTGTTTTGGTTTCCCAGATTTGTATAATCCTTGTTTAGCTGTAAAATGGAGCTGTCAATGTAAGTGGGATAGTATAGTTTTCCTTGAGAGCTTTTTATTATCAGGATAATTTGCCTTCTGCCATGTCCAGGAAGGTGGTAGCGTTTTTTATTTTGTTTTTTAGCTATAGAGAACATTGTAGAATCAGTCATATACTATTGATTTTTGTCTGTCAAAGATGATACTTGTAGTTTTTTTCATTGAAAAGTTGTTCTTAAAAAGTTTCTTTTTATGTGTCATGTTTCATATCAATGTCCTTTTTCTTCTACCTTCTGTTTTTTCCTTCTGTCATATGTGAATTAGCATACAAATTCAGGTTGAATTGAGCTCAGATCTGAAAATATAATCTGTGTCTAATTTCATGGACTACCTGATAACCTTTTAATGGTGTAACCCATTTATGCATTTTTTTACAATATAACATTAATTATTAATATGTTTATAAATAGATTTCTGGACAGGTGAATTAATTCAGCAAGGTCAGTGATGATATAATTGCAATGTTATTTCATTCTGTCCCATCTATTTTTCAGTAGCAGATATTTTCTTGTGGAACTGCCCTCCTAACAGATAGTTATTAAGCTTAATGAGGCATTTACACATCTCTACAGATGTAAGGCATAATTTTCCTGTCACCCATGAACATATCACATAACTAAGAGTCACACCTAATGCAAGATGCAAAAATGTTTCCCAATTAAATTCTCTTGTTAACAATATCACAGTCAGTCACAGATGTTCTCCTTCCCCTTATATGTGAGAAGAGATGTGTGTCCTCTGATGAGCGAGAGAAAGCACTGTAGTTAGGGCATAAGAATCACTTGTGACTGCATTCTGAATAGTTTTTTTCAATTGTAAGGCTTGGAATCTTATGTGAAAATCTCAGCTTGAAAAAAAAATAATCTAACTTGAACAATGAAAATTATGCCAACCAGGATACCTTTCTCCTTTGCCTCACAGGCAAACTCTAAGTGCTCTATGAAGGAGAAGAAAAGGTCAATTCTCACAGTTTTAACAGTTCATAAAGGTGAGAGAGGTGCTGTCTAGCAAGAAGTGGGTCTTGTTTATGCAAAAGACCCAGCCTCAGACCCAGGTTTTGTTCTGTTGACTTGGATGTTCAGTGCAAAAATGTTTGTTTCTATTTCATAATTAATATTGCCAACACTTTAGAAAAAGAGCTGCAATGGCAGATACCATGTATGCACTAGTGCCGTCACCAACTGTATTGACACTTCAGTAAATGAACTCTTGTCTCTTTGCTACAACCTGGGCTACTGAGAGCTTTACATTACTATGTTATCTGAAATTCAAGTTCTGTTCAGAGAGCACTGCTTGTTCCATTTGAGTGACAGAGGAAGCACTCCTTCCTCTCCATTTTATTGCTGAGCATGACATTATACGACATGGAATATGTCTTTGGTTGGTTTGGGTCATATACCTGGTTGTGTCCCCTCCCAGCTTTTATTCCCTGGAGGGGAGGGCACAGAGTAAGAAACAGAGAAGGCCTTGGTGCTGTGTAACACTGTTCAGTAACAGCTGAAACATCAGTGTGCTTTCAGCACTGTTTTAGCTGCAGATCTGAAACACAGCACTGTAAGAGCTAGTATGAAGAAAGCTAACACTATCTTGGCCTCACCCAGTACAGCAGGTATAAGGGTAAAATGAGAGACGGAGATGCTGTGTGTGTATGTAATGCACGGTGCTTTAGCAAGCCACAAGTGTAGCTGTCCTTAATCAAATTCAGGTAGGGCCGTCACTGGCATACAACTTGGAACCTTGGGATGTATTCATTTAAGAGAAAGAAGTCAATACATTCCCTAGCCTTTCTTGAAATGTGCCATGAAATTCTAGCTCTTACTTAGGTGTCCATTATATGGAGGAAGTGTAGTTTTGAGTAATTTAACTTAAAGGTGTGAGATGAGATGTTAATGATACCTAATTTTTCACAAAATACTGAGATGTATGATGCATGTATAATTAGCTAATAGAAATATAAAAAGGATTTAGCATCAGAAATTGACTGCAGAAGGATGATTCATTGAATTATCTTAGCAACATCCTTTTCAAGAACAGAGCACTCTTTGTTTTTATTGCAAATGAGATTTGGGTTTCTAATTTAGTTTTATAATTCCTGATCTGCGGCAGTGTATTCTGCCCATTCATTATAAGGATCTCTGCTGCTTACATGACTGTGAAGTTAAATTTTATTTATTAAGCCTCCTGAAATGTTTGAGTTATTGGTCACTTTTTCTGGGTTACAATTTTTTTACCTGGTAATGTGCTTTTCAGAAAATATGTGAATTCATTTTAAAATGTTGCAATCTGACCTTACGTAAACTCATAGTTACAACAAATGGCAGGTTCGGAGGTGGCTGTTTGCTGAGGGCCATGAGGCTGGTTTGC